CTATCAGATATAATTCAATGGCAATATTTACAGTTACAACATTTGTTAACTGCATTGTTTGGACCAGCAGCATTTTCAGCTTCTGAGACACCTGAGATATACTAGAACAATTTGTCAAATCCTTTAAAACTAAAAAAACTAGTATTCGTTTTTATAGATATTTGTTGTCAATAAATCAATTTGATATGCAGATGCTAAGAGATGAGTGGAATAAAGAATTAGAGGCCTAGACAATGGGAGAGTGTCTTTACTTCTGTAGCAAGAGTATCAATGGACCTTAAACTACAACTTATACACTATACAATAAAAAATAATATTTAGAATTTATTGGACTCCATTACATTTATATAGAAAAGGATTGTCTAAGTATCAGGCCCAGCCCAAGAACAATGATGAAACAGTCCAGTCGAGTACAATTTCTTTATTTGCTTAGACCTTATAGACAGAATCTTGCCAAACTAAATCTATACTATGGCAACTAGTGGATATACCCTGGGATATTCTAGGGAGTGGCAACCCTGAAACTCTTACTCTTCCCATGCTCCCCCTGGGGACTGTGTTGCCTCTTGCCTCCTCCCCCCTCCTGGAATGCACCCCCTCCTTCCTGATAGCCTTGATCCCCCACATCAGTCTCCTCCTCGTAGATACATTCCATCACACTAAGATAGCATTTTGCTGGAGATGTAATAAGGACAATGCTTCTTTAAAATACATGTTTTTACAATGTCCTATACTTACTACGTTTTGGGAGAAAGTAGTGGATCGTATAAATGTGACTGTGTGACAAAAGCTAAAACTTTCAGAGGATAATATTCTCTTGAATTACATACCAAGTACGTGGAATTTGACAACAGGACAATGTAAATGGATTCTCCGTGCCCTTACTATGTCTAAAAGACTAATATTGCAGCATTGGAAAGATAAATGTATGGCCCCATTCATTCAATGGATTGAAGACCTGATTGCACTTGCCACTTATGAGCAGATTGCCTATACTGACAGTCCCCTACTTATGAACAGGTTACGTTCTAAAAGGCTGTTTGTAAATCCGTTTTGTTTATAAGTCCAACCAAGTCAAAAGTAATGTAAAAAAAAAAAAAAAAAAAAAAAAGGAGGAGGCAGGAGGCAGGAGGCAGGAGGCAGGGCAGCAGTATGGGCAGAGGGAGCCTTGTCTTCTGTTGCCAATGCAAGGAGCAATAGCCTGCAGGTTGTGGAGAGCACAGTGTGATGAGCCGGTGGGGCATGGCATACTCCATTTCCAGGAGAGGCAGCGGTGGCTCCCTGGGTGAAGGGGGCAGCTGTGCGGGAGGCAAAACTGCTGGCCCCTTGCGAGGCCTTGCAGGGGGAAGGCTGAAGATTGCAGCCTCCCAAAGTGTGCTGTAAACTCCAGTGCAAACCTCCAACCTCCTGGAAGGTGGGAGAAGGCAGGAAAGGGTTAGTTTACGGTGCACCACTTACAGGAGGTTGGAGGTTTCCATTGGATTTGGAGTTCCTGAAAAGGGTTAGTATGCGACGTGCTTGTTGGCGGGTGAGTCAGGAGAGGCAGCGGTGGTTCCCTGGGCAAAGGGACAAGCCAGCATGCTCCGTTGCCAAGTGAGGCAGGAGAGGTGGCAGTGGCTCATTTGTGGAGGTTTGTGTTGGAGTCTATAGCGTGCTTTGGGAGGCTGCAATCTTCAGCTTTCCTCCTGCAAGGCCTTGTGAAAGGCCAGCAGTTTCCAATGCGAGCTACAAAGTGCATGCTGTGCCTGTGCTCATCCCTCTTTTTCCTCTAGTTCCTCTGCCACCCTGAACAGTGCCTGCCGCACAGCCGCCCCCTTCACCCAGGGAGCCACCGCTGCCTCTCCTGCCCTTAAACTAATCCTTTCCAGGAACTGCAACTCCAATGCAAACCTCCAACCTCCCAGAAGGCTGGAGAAGGCAGGAAAGGGTTAGTACGCGGCACACTGGAAACTAACCCTTTCCCTTCTTCTCCCGATTTCTGGGTCCATCTTGTTCGTATTGGTGAAAGTTTGCAACTCAAGAGTTCGTAAGTAGGGGACTGTCTGTAGACATAGACCTTGTATGGACAAGTATAATGAAATATGGGACTCATTTATACAAAATACAATAGGTTAAAAAAACGTGATAGTCATATAAATGTATTAGAAATATATGTGTCTTGAATAATATTTGCATTAGATAAGTATATATAGCATTGTAACAGTTTACTGTTATGATGACATATCATAGTACGTTTTTTTCTTTGTTGAACTTCTTTCACTTTTTTGTAAAGCACTTTTTATGTTTTTTTCTTTGACAATGTATGTATCTCCATCATTATTATCATTATGTCTTGCTCTTTTTCTTTTGTTATTAATTAAAAAGCAATAAAAAATAAAAATAAAAAAATAAAAAAAATAGTTCAGGGGTAAAATACATCCTTTTCCTGAAGAACAGTTCAGGTTTAATCCCTGGCATCTCCAGTAAGACTAGAAACAATCTTCCTGAAACTCTGGAAAGCTGCTACCAGTTAGAGTGGGCAGTGATACACTAGATGAACCAATGATTTGGCTCAGTTCGCTATGTAATTTGAGTTTCCCATTTAATTCTAATGTAAAACATGGTCTACTCTGACAGCAGCTTTTCTTACTCACTACAATTAAGCTTTTTCAGTGCATGCCTGCTATTACAAATCTGGGAAATACAGCTTTAGAATTTCTGTTCACTCTTCACTTCTTACAGTAATTTCCAGTGACTTCCAGAAACAGGAGTCACTTTCTTTTGTATACATTGTATACCACTGTGGTTTTCCCTTCAGTGACAGAGGCACAATGCAATACTTAGATATTCTGGAAATAGGGTTTAACAAAATATGACCTAGACAGCATTGAAAAGAAACGTGCATCTATTTTTTTAAAAAGAAAAGATTCTAGAGGGAGTAATTTTGGGCTGAACCACATGACCAGCTTGTCCCAGTGCACATTTAGGACTCTGACCATGTTTTGTGGACAAGAACATGTGACATCCTCAAAGGCTCCCAGCCATCAAGAAGACAAGCTCCCCCATCTTTTTCTGCTACACATTAAAAGTAACCAGGTGAAATTGACAAGGTTCTTTTACTTTCCCCTCCTAGCCCAAGGGACAGGAAGGATAGTAAAATTATAGTGCTTTCTTTCTTTTTCCTTTTTAACAGTCCACCAGGGGACACATCAGATGGGAGGGTGTCAGGCACAAAGTGGGGTCATCAGAGAGGGCTCATACAAAAGGTCCATCAATGGAAACCACCTGTCATCAAAGATCCACCCCCAAAAAGAAAGTGATTGGTGCTTGCTTTTCTGGCATGGGTGGGAGGAGTAAGGAAGCAGAGGAATCTACCAATTGGCAGCTGTGTTATGCAGTCTGAACATCTGGCCATCGCTGAAGCCAAAGCGGAGGAAGCAACTGAATTCCAGAAAAGGTGTTTCTGGAGCTGGCTTTGTTTCTAGCCAGTTTACCCCCAGGAGTCAAGCAGCTTAAGGCTGCAGGGCTGAAAAGCTCTTAGGGTGAAAAAATAATAAAGCCCAAAGTGCTTAGCCCTTTCCTAGCCTCCCATTTCTCCCTCATCTTACCCCCTCCCGCTGCTGTATCAAACAAATGTTTGCAAAGGGAAATAAAGATTGAAACTCCTTATGCAAATAAGAGCAGCTGAGGAGAAATTTTGGAGTACAATAGTAATTGTGAGGGGAAGGATTAAGCACTTTGCCTCCTCCAGCATATTTTGGTTCTCCATCCATCTCCCAAGTTGATTTCCCCCATATCACCACCTACAATTTGGTATAATGCTTAGTTTAATCCTTACAGGCATTTCTTATCATCAGGTTCAAAGCAACATTTCTCTCTGTTCAAATTGACATGCAGTGAAAGATGCTGGCTCTCTTTCTCATACCAATAGTTCAAATTAGGAACACAGGAAATTGCCTTATACTAGCTCAGGGCTATGTGTTCATCCAGATCATTTGGGTTTTCACAGACAAGAAACCTTCTCCAGAATCTCAGGTAAAATCTTACATAGCCCTTATTACTTGATACTTTTAACTGGACATTCTGGGGTTGAACCCCAAATCTTCTATAGGCAAAGCATCTGCTCTGCTATTAAGCTATGGCCTAGCCTAAGAAATGAACACTCAGATTATTTTGAAAGATGCCTGGACTTGACTTCTAAAAGCAAAGTTCTGTCATAAAGCAAAGGCCTTCTCCTGATTTAATTACACTCATATTAATATCCATAAAAGTTTTATTCTTGGTTCAGAATAGCCTGAATGGGACACAGATGAAGCACTAGGATTTGGGTGGCTGGGGACTGCATTTCAACATTTTGTTTTGGAATCGTAAGGGCAAAGCTATTCAATCTGGGCTGCAAAACTCTGGAATCACCACATGGCAGCAAAGAGATACAGAAAACTTTCTAATAGTTGCTCAAATTTCTGCTGCCCAGATCTGTTGGCCCTAGTTAGGATCACCCTGGGCAAGGCAATGATGCAAAGCAGCCCAGTCTGCACCACAGCTTTGTTTGTTTCTTTTTAAATTTACGTTAAATCTATGGCAACTTTTACATTACAGTTTTTGTTTTTTCAGTGGCAGAAAGCCATGCCCCTCTGCATTCAGAGTCAGAGAGAATCCTGGGCAGCACAGGATAGTCTGAATATTTATCTGTATACACGTACTCCTCCAATGGAACAACAGAATTCACTATAATATGATGTTTTCCAAAGTGTGGCTCTATTCATCTTTTTGGATCATCAGTGCAATTAAACATGGAGTTTATTATAAATTGGTTCCCTAGACTGTGGTCAGATTGAGCTCTTTCACTGTCTGTCTGAATGCACTGCAGGTCAGATAGAGTGAAAGCAGCCATCAGAAGAGATCATAACTTAAGAGGCTTTTGTTTGGGCTGCACATTATTCCTCTCAGACACGAGCACCGATGTGGGAAGTCACCCACAGTAAAATAGGTGTCAGCTGTGAAAATATTGTTTTAATTACCTGCTTGAATATGAATAGCAGCATCAATTCTTTTGTTCTTTATATCCTTGAACTTCCTGCGTGTATCATATCCTCTCCAGGCTAAAAATACAAAGTCATGTGTTGTGAATTATATTCGCTTAAAGGAAAGGCTATAGAATCAGAAACGTGCCATAGTTTGATCTGTACCCTCATCCCATCCAGGCACTTTCCCAGTTGAACAGCCTGTTGAATGGCCAGAGTTTGTCTCAGCAGCTCCCTCCCTGCAACTACAGACTTTTTGCATAGCATGTTCTGTCATTGGCATCTCCATCAGAGGAATAAGAAAGAGTAGCTATGGGTTGTTGAATATGAGTAAATATAGAATACATGGAACACTGGAGCAATGAAGCTGAACTGTTGAAGAAGAAGAAAAGCGGGGGGCAGCTAAGTGGTTTCCTACACAAACCAAGCCATTTTAATATCAGAAATATATCAACTATATATTAAGAGGTCAAAGGGTAAGGCAGATGAATAGCATATGTTAGCATGTTCAGATACTCTGTACTATACTTCTACCGTAAGGAATCTGCATTGAGCCATAAAGCTAGCCCATGTCTATCTGCACTGCCCTTATAACCAGCTATAGTGTTGACAAAATGAAAGATATTCAGAAACATTTGTTCTCAAAGACTAGAGCATTCTAGCGCTATAAATATGTTCAAATAGGAATGTTTTCTCCCAAAGAGGAAGAATGACATCCATGTGCTGAACAGGAAGATTAAGAGCAGGCTTTCTAGCAGGTGGCCCAGGGATTTCATCCAATTGTCCTGACATCAGGCTGAAAGGATGCCTGCCCCTCTGCCTACTATCAAAGTTCCAGAAGAAAGGTGAAGAGTTGTGGGGATCCCACAGCCTTTCATTCTGGAAAGGGTGCCTGTCAGACGCTCACAAGATCTTCACCAGTAGTAGCCAAACCAAAAGAGACATGCATCTCTAAAACCGCCCAGAGTTGCTCTGCAGCGAGATGGGCGATGACAAATTTGAAATATAAAATAAAATATAAATAAAACAAAAGTGTCTCCTCCAGCGTTTAATAAAAACAAAAATTCTGCAGCACCCTTTCTACTACCTCCTTCACCCAATGTGAAGCTCTTGTCTGTTCTATCCTACAAAATGGAATCATCAACCTTTTTTATGGTGAGGGTCAGATTATTCCAGATATAACAAATAAACAGACGATCAGTAAAACAAATAGACACTTTACAGTGGTACCTTGGAATACGAATACCTCTACTAACGAACATTTCGGGTTACGACCAGCTTCAGCAGGAAAAATTTACCTCGGGTTACGAACCGGATACGCGGCCATTTTTCCGCCCATTACACAGTCTGCGGGCATTTTCCCACCTGTGCCACATGGTCCGCGGCCATTTTCCGCCCTGCCACATGGTCTGCGGCCATTTTTCCGCCCCTTCCTCGTGGTCCGCGGCCATTTTTCCGCCCCTGCTGCGTGATCCACGGCCATTTTTCCGCCCTACCACGTGGTCCGCGGCCGTTTTTCTGCCCCTGACGCGTGGTTCGCGGACGCCAGAATGGATTAACGGTAATTACATTGAACCTTATGGGGAAATTTGCTTCAGGTTACGACCAACTTGGGATACGCCCAGGGCCACGGAACGGATTAAGTTTGTATCCCGAGGTACCACTGTATTTGCAGTTTAACAGCTTGAAACACTGGAATCCTCGGTGATATAGAAAACTCAGAATATTTACCTGACTGAATGGCAATAGCGCTGTTGGTTCTTTTCTCTTTGAGTTTTTTGTACCTTTTAGCTCCAAGCCAGCCTTTGGTATAAGCCTGCATTATCACCACCCTGCCTATAACTTCACGCAGATACAAGTTCAGTTGTTCAACATGATAGTATTTCAGGAAAACCTGAAACAAAACAGCAACATCACATTATCTGATAGATCAGTAGAGCAAATTAATTCACAAAGATGGATCTAGAGCGTGATAAGGGGCCAATTGACCTGGTCTATCAGAATGATGGCAGCTTTCCAATTTTGCAAATAAATACTAACAGTTCTTTCTCTCTTTTTTTTTAATAATATTTTATTGAAATTTTAAAATTACAAGGTTAAAAGTCAG